CAATCAAATACGCATTTAAAATGGGTGATTGGCAGGTGTTGAAAATGTCCTCCAGTAATCAGACTTGAAAGGGTGTACTTACCCAAACAAATCAGTACGCACTTCTGTGTTTGCCAGGCAACAGTCGGGATTCACTTTGCAATGTAAAACTAACTTCAGTCTATTGGAAGCCATTTTAAATAATTATACATCATTTACCTTTCTGCTGTAGAGTTAGGAAATAAACATAGAGCATTTTAAGATTTCTGATTTTCCACTTTGGATTACTTAGCACTGACAGCTAGCCTACTGCTCATGTTGTCTAGGGGTTTAATTAGAGACAAATACGTCTTACACCTTGGCCCTTTGGCAGCCGGCTCTCCAGTCCTATACCATCCCACTAGAATGTGGGCAGACCCCCTCAACATCATCATGTACAATACAGGAGCCCTAGTCCTGTATCGTAGACTATGACCATGGTGAGGGGGTGGACACAGGAGTGGTGAAAAGGAGCGGCTTCGGGGGAACAAGTCGTCCATCATGGAGGAAGCCTGCGGGACCATGAAGTAAGGTAAGTACTGCGCTTATTAAGATCCCCCTAAACTTGACAAGCAGTACATACAGTATATGCTGAGCCAATATTTATTCTTTGTTTTGCCTGGAGTTTAACCTTTAAAATTAAAAGTGGTTTCTACATTCTTTCAGTCGGCTCTGACATCATTTCAAAGGTACCCCAAATGTAAAGCTTATAAATCAATGTACTGCTATGTGTTCTTCTGATACATTGATTGTGTGACGTCTAAGGGTCATCGTACATGTTACAATCTAACCATACAATCTTTGTAAAAACAACTTTAAGTTTTTAGGTTTACCAAATATATACTGTATAATATAACCTCCTACCTAAATCATCCAATCAATTTGCATCCAATCAGGCAGGCCTTTACACTACATGTTTGTTGGTCGATTTAAAAGAGATTGTACAATGAGATTGTAACGTGCGTCTAGGTCTCCCTAGTCATGTTTGGCAAACATACTGTATAACTAATGAATGGTCCACTATATATCTGTATTACTGAAATAAATAATTATATACTATATTAACTTACTGTATACAGTATATATATATATTGCATGTACATTGATTGTTTCAAATTAAAAAATAATATCTAAAATAATAGATATTATTCAGGTATAATGTAAATACACAAACGATAATTCATTATATTAAAACCTAATCTAATAAATGCATGTGCAGTAAAATAAGCCTAGGTTTCTTAATGCAGGCAACATCTCAGGACCACGCAGCCCGCTGGGCTCAGGACGTGACCAAAATAGCAATTAGACATCTTCCCTATAACTCCAGCCCCAGATACACCCTGCAACACTTCCAAGTGAGCAATCAATGTCTATAGATCTGAGGCAAATCCTGGCTAGATTTGTTACTACGCTGCAGTTTAAGTGTTGTAATGTAAGAGCGTCATTCCTATGACATCCCCACCCAGCCCCCACCTGGCTCTAGAAGCCATCAGGTTTGAGGCCAGTGACATGTTGCCATTGATTGGGGCCACTGTATATCAGCTTAAACAGTTATTACCAGAGCTGCTCCTGGGATGAATGTATACATCATATATCCAAGTGCTTCCTACAACATAAATCAAATATATTTTACTGCTAGTTATACAGGCACAGGAAGATAAATATCATTTACTGACTGGAACTAAGGAAAAGGCGGATGGACAGACTTGTTCAACAAAGCAGCACAAAGAAAGATGACAACATACAGTAACACAAAGCAGCCAAACAGAATTCATTTTGCATAAACATAAATGATCATTTGCAATTGGTCGCTACAGCTATGGCCTTCCGTATAATGAGGCAGCCTGAGGATTTGCCTCAGGCGGCATTCCATTGAGTCATGTGGTAGCCTCGCCCTTTCCTGCCAGAGCGTCCCAGGTTGCTAAGAGCTCTTAGCAACCTGTGACACTGTGGCCGGTGTCCCGCCCAGCTCACTAATGTCAGTAGTTGCCAGGATCTGAGTAGGACACTGGCTGGCATCCCTCCCATGCTCCTGGCAACCACTGACATCGGTGAGCTGGGCAGGATGCTGGACAGAGCTGGAGCCAATGAGCTTGGTGGGACACCAGAACAGAGACAGAGCCAGCACTCCACTTTACCACCCCCAAGCCCCCCCTGGCAGCAATGTGCACTACTAGCAATCCTACACCCCTGCCTCAGGTGGCAAAAAGTGTAGAGACACCCCTGGCTACAGGTAAGGAACCTTGCACGTTGCCTTAATACTGTATATGAGCCCATAGAATACGCCAAGAACTCATAATATGGCAGCTATTGCTAAACTACTGAAGCCATGACATGGGGTCATACTGGAACTTGTAGTTCTTTAAACAGCAAGTGAACTTTAATTACATTTTCAAATACATTTACATTCTTTATCTTTCAACTAACCTTACTTTTCACTGCCAGGCTGCCCACAATTATTGGTGAATTTATGCAAACCGGTGCTCCCATTGTCCTTTGAAGATGCTCTTATGCCAGGCCTAGCCATAGAGAATATTAGCCTATTTTTAAAACTATTTAAGTCCTGGGCTAATGGGGCAGTATGATCTTGGATTCTCAAATAATACACACTACAGTATAAATGTATACACTACAGTATATATGTATTCAGAGTGATCTAAATCTAAACTTCAAACTTGTTTCTTAACAAATCCATAGACTTAAGGCTAATCATTAGCTAGAACAGGTACACCTGCCTCTAGAAATCGAGTGAAGCAGGAAACTAAAGGTGCCCATACACCTTACAATTATCTGCAGATTTTCTGTGGTCAGATGGAAAAGGTGCAACAGATTCCTCCATCTACACTTAACTGTGTGGATGGAGTAATCTCCACCTGGGCCAATCTGTTGCACTTTTTCCATCTGACCACAGAACATCTGCAAATAATTGTAAGGTGTATGGGTGCCTTTAGATTGCCTTTTCTTCACATTATTTGCTTCTTCTAGTCTTACTGGGTTAAACAGTGGACTGAAACCTAAATGTTAGCTAATTAGCACAGGAAAGGGTATTTGTAGGACACCAATTTAAATGTATGACCAAAGGCAAGGAATTTAAACACCTCTGGGTTCAGGTGGGACTTCTAAGTGTACAGTAATTTACACATTGCCTAGTGCTGTAGCAATCAGGAATCCAGTCCAGAGCAATATTATATAGCTGATGCTGGAGCTAGTGCCTGTAGATAGGCTGAAGTAGGCTGAACAAGATCAGGAGCACTGAGATGTCAAAAGGAAGGATACAAGTTGAAAATAGCATTTTAAGGATAGATATAGCATGCCAATTGTTTATGATACACATTGCTTTAGCAAACTAAATGCCACCCAGTTAGGGTTCAGATCTACTTTGCCCATAGGTTTACAGAAATGGTATGGTCCCAGTGAATTGAAAGGCTTTCTATTCTCACTGACTGAGGCATTATTTTATTTCATTTTTAGTGGTTACCATTATTTGAGGTATACATAAGGTAAGCATTATCTCACCTGTACACTATACATTTTCACGGGCCAGATGTCCATGTGCCAAATACATCACAAAAGGCAAAATGTGTTAGGAAAGTACAGAAACACACAGCAACAAATCAGAACTGATCTTGTGTTGTCCTCACAGGCCTAAACTCATGAAAGGAGAAGTCAGAATGGTTGATTTAGGCTGATGCAATGTGCACTTTATCATTCCAATGTCACTATCCTGTTTAATAAGGTAAAACAAAACACTTCTCATTTACGAGCTGTAATCAGCTCCATATAAACCGAAGTCACCTACTGTACCCTATTGCAAAGTCAAGCTCTTTCCAGCCTCACTGCAAGGGTTAAATATCTCCATTCTAAACCCAGGCTGTGCACACCCTCAGATAAACCTTTGCTAAGCACTCCTGGTAGACATACAGTATAGACACCCACCCTGCAGCGTAGCCAACATCAAGGACATAGAGGCAGCCAAGGAACATACCCTTATTTTCTTATTTCTGTATCATGAAACACCAAGATACCAATGTCAGCTTAATATATAAAATTTATTCCTGTAACAATAGAAGCTAATCCATGCCACTGAATTGAGTTTGCCAGGTTTGCCCACCCCCCTCAGCAGCAGTAAAACAAAAGCATACATTAAAGAGTGCATAGTACAGAGCTATGTTGGCCTCAGTATCAATAGGAGGTAAAATTAGAGCACATGTTCTCCAAACATAACAAAGAAAACCATATCGCTATTTGGGGTTAGTCACTGCAAAACTGCACTTCAGGACTGCACTTGCACATCACCTAATAATTTCTTTGTACAAAAAGACTGTGTATCTCCATGTACAACAAGTACAGGGCATAGACAGGAGTTAAGCAAACAGTACACTTGTTAAATGAAGACAGGAGAAGAGAGAGAGAGAGAGAGAACTTATTACAGAGCTGAAAGCGATACTACGAGTGTGCAGCTGGCTTTCAGCACCGCACGCTGTGGACAGCGCCTCACTGACCATGAAGGGACCGGAACAGCTGAGAAGCGAGGTGCAGCGCTTAGAGATTACCTACCAATACTTCATATAAGCTCCACAAGGCAAATGTTATATTAGAGAATAAAATAAGACATTATTTGCTTTTTCTATATGTTACTGTGTTCTGAGTTCATTTTGTTCTCTGTGAGAGACTCTTCCATCTTTTGTTTTAAGCCACCCGATTTTTAAGCCACAATGCAGGAACTCACAAGGACTCCCCAAGCCTTTGCTGTCTTCTTTCTGTGTCCAGTTTATTGACAGGTGTCTATTTTGTGGATTGATATGATGACATAGAATATTGTAGAGCTGGTATACTGAGAGATAGCGGTATCCCGGGGGGAATCTTATATACAGCAGGATGGGATTCCTCAAGCAGATGGTAGAGCATTTTGGTCTCATTGTGCGCCTTTCGTCTCCAGAAAAGAAGAAAAAAAATACTAACCCCATTATTTTTTTTTATTATTGTCATATTGTATAGTAGTAACGCAATATGGATTTGGAATCATGCGCTTGTATTGATATTATAATTAATGATTTCATTTTCCGGGACGGTGTCACCAAATATGTACAGCACAGTGCCTTCTTCTTAGTGCCATCAAGATCATGACAAGACCACGGATTGCAGCAGGTCCTCCTTGGCATTGTCTAAAATTGAAGCTTCCCTTTGAGGCTGGTCGGTCATCCTGGTGTAGGGATTGAGGGGGCTCTGGTCTCTCCTCTGGATGTCAGGGGAGTCTCGGCCACCAGGGTCTTGTGCCTTACTTGGCTGTCTGTTACCCCTTTCATACAAATGCCCTCTTTCTTCCTTTGGGCTGCAGTGATCCCTCTCATATTCCTCCTGGGCTTTCTCGATTTTACGTTTTTTCATCTTGCTCTTGTGCAAATGGAAGGTGCTGAGGGACAGGACCACCAGGCAGAAGATCACAGTGGTCAGGGCGATCAGGACCAGAGTGGAGGAGAAGGACTGGAACAAAGGCTCCACTTCGGTCACACAGCTGGTGGCGTTGGTGGCAGAGGTCCTGTTCATCAAGCACGGTGGCATGGATAGCGTGAGCTGCTTGGAGATCCTGGCACTCATTGAGAAGGCTGAGGGAGCAGGGGAAGGCACACTTCGCCTCCCTCTTACACTGACAGCCGTATCGGGACAGATGTGGGGACACTGCTCTGGCTGAAGAAGGAAGCAATCCTAGGCATCAACCTGCGAACCAATAACATTGGGGAAAACAAGGGTTACCACTGGGAAACCAACTGATACATTGTTGTAATTTGCAACAGCGACAATTGTAATCAGCTGATGAAACCCTCTATATTATGGGACCTTTTGCTGGGCTGGAATCTTTAACTAGCAGATCCACAAGCACTAATATGCTTTTAGGAAGCCTTGATCTGCCGGGCTCAGCTCACACTGCCAACTTGGAAACAAAGCACTATGCCTCTCTTGTACGTTCCCCCAGCCCTCAATGCACTACGATGGCTTATGTCCTATCAGTACAAACTTGGGACAATAGGAAATCCTGTACCGACTACAGTCACTTCTGATGCAGAAGGACCATAGGGTGGCATAGTAAGAGTATCACCCTTCTCACCTGATCTACACTCTTGGGACTTGCATTAACCATGGCGTGCTTGGCACTTTGCATACCTGTACGAAAGGTGGCTGATCTGCTTCAAAGGAGTGTGTGTGTGTGTGTGTGTGTGTGTGTGTGCTTGCGACCGGGCAGCTCAGGGCGATGATCTGCCCATTACAGGCACTTACCTGTAGATAGGTTGGCTGCTGCGGCTGCTGCTTGCTGCTGGATTCCCTGCCGCTGGCTTGCTCCTGGCTGCAGAAGGCACTGAATGAGCGGACGGGCAGCTGGGGAAGAAGCAGCCTATTGCCAGTCTGCGCTGTGCTGACGTCATCCTGCCACTGTCTTGGGTTTCTGCTCTCTGTGAGCTCCCGGTCCCTCCAGCCGGCGCCCGCAGCAAGATGTGCCTCCCCATTAGTACCCAGCCAGTGGGCGAGCACCCTGGCACAGGGAACACCCTTTAAGGCTAAGCACATCTACAAGAAAAGTGAAGGGAAACGATTTGAGAGCAGGCATTGCTGACAAACAGGAGGCAGTAGAATCCTTCCGTTGTTGGTGTATATTTAGAAGGAGGTATGTGGTTCGGTATAACCCTGCAGCCTTCCTCTGCAGTACTGAGCTATATTCAGATCGCATTCAAATTCCTACTTAAGCTGCGAATCAATGGATGGCTCTATCCTGGATGCAAGTGCATGTCCTGGGGCTGGGAAAGTGCTGAGGCTGGCACTGCTGTGACTGTGCCTGTCTCAGACGAGTGGTGACTGTCTGACACATTGTCCAGGAGGGTGGAAAAAAAAAAGTTACAATGTGTTACAATATATTGCATCTTGTCAAGATCCATTTACAATATAGGTGTAAAGAAGAACTCCAGTTGAACATTTTATTAACCCATGCAGTGGGGCTACCCCTGCACTGAAAAGGTTAAGTGCTCGTTTTTGTTCCAGGGAGGAAAATTACAAAGTTATACTCACCTGATCCTCCGAGGTGGTCGGCTGTGACAGCACTCCCTCCTGACTGTCTTCCTCCACTGCAGCGATGGTATGTCCCTCGGCATCCTCATGTCTTATACACAGTGTATAGAATGTGATGACTCAGGGACCTAAGATCGTTTCAGAGGAGGGGGAGCGAGGGTGGAAGCCAGTCAAGAACAAGCCGACTCAGGTGACCAGGAGAATATCACTTTTTTATTTTCCTCCTCAGACCAAAACGAGCACCTAACCCTTTAAATGCAGGGTTAGCCCCGCTGCAAGGGTTAATAAACATTTTGCCCATTCTTTAAAAGGATGGTGGAAAGAGTAGCAAGAAAATTGTAGGCATGTCACTCCAAATAGAGTTAGGTTGGCCATGCACTGCTCAAATAATATCTCAGTCCACAATTCGAGCAATGTTTGGCCCCCTTGGGACCCCTGTTTGACAAATGTCAATTTTTAAATAGACTTTTTCCCAAGGAGCCAGGTCACAAATTCTCAGCTAAACAGTTACTGCAGCCAATTCTGACAGTGGCGCACCTCATGCTGTTAGAATACAATAGTCTGACAGGGGTTAATTCTTCCAATCATGCTTTTAAGTAGGGATGGGGGAATTGTGTTAGTGTATGGCCAGATTTATTTTAGTTCAATAAGTTTTCATTAAAGATTTTACAAAGAAAAACAGGTGAAAGATCAACATACAAAGAGCAAATCCATTGCACAACATCAGTGGAAACGCATAGGAAGCACAAGTCGTGGAACTTGGCATGTGACAGCATAATATCAGGATAAGTGGAACAGTTATAAATCAAGGTTGATACAATTCATGTGTATTGTGTTAGGCAGTTCCACTTGGGTGTCTCGGAAATCCTTCATCCCCAGACGGTAACGTCCAAAAAAGGCCGTACCTAATCCGGGGCATACAAGCCTTGACCAACGACTACCGTGTATAGTAAAACATGTCGAAGGAAGACAATACATCAAAGCAGGACCATGAATCTGGAAACAGAACTGTAGAGTAGAGAAAGAAAACCACTAGTACTAGAAAAGAAGCGAGTAAACCAAAAGAAAAAAGGTAAGAGAACTCATGCAGAACAGGAACAAGGATGGAAGAAGAGTAGAAAAACATAGCAGGAGGAAGGAGAGAGAGAGCAGGATACAGAGAAGGGTCATCTCAGAAAGAGACCCTAGGGGCTAGAAACAAAGAATCGCCGTCCACAGCCTCATGCCAGGGCGCCACAGGCATCCGGAGGGAACCCAGAGAACCTAGGAGATAAGCTCAGCATCTGAGGCTCGGAAATCCAGCCATACGGACCAGGTGGGCCAGATTTATTTTGGCCCCTGAAAACAATGGATTTTATTTTAGGGTCGTATACATCATGATGCTGTGGTAACGCACGAGGCAATACATGTTGCTCATGTTGGTGCAATATGGTGCCATTCATTATAATCTCTGAGAGTGTCCATCTTGGAGATTATATAGCAATGTATAGCCTGAAGGTGGCCCATTTCTCCTCAGATTAGGACCACACTACACAGAGGAACCTTGACGTGGCAGTGTGGCTTCCACATGTTTGCAAATGTGTGCAACTAAAACATAAATTGTTTGATGTAATTTGTTTTTGTTGCAGTCTAGCTGGCAAGTGTACTGGGAAAGTGTTGTGTTTGCACTGTGGAAAACCTTTCCATATACACCTTACTTTAAAAAGCTAGTTATATGTTGATTGGTGTGGATGCCATTTCTATTTAGCTTGCTGGATTTAATGGGGACACACTGGGGATCTTCAGCTGCCATTGTGCTGTGCTGCGCATCTGGAGTGTCCTCCTACTTTATAAGGAAATGTAATATGGCATTAACATGATTTTATTAATATTTTCTTTGCATGCAGACTAAGCTGTCAGGCAAAAGTGACAATGATGGGTTGAGACAAGCTATATAGCACTGCCAGAGGTAGTTGAGCAGAGTGCGTCCTAACTGCGGTCCTCTTTTTGGGAACATTTATGTTCTTTTGGATGTATGCAGAGCTAGTTAGAAAGATGTATTATTTGCTTTGTCTTAAGTAGACTTTTGGCTGTGCAACATCCAACAGCACACAGCACCTTTTTGTCCCAGGCAACAGACAATTTCAAGTCCTCCTGTTAACTTCAAGGCTCTTCCTGTTCTTCACACTACAGGGGCCATGTGATTTGGTAACGAGCACAGCTGATGTATGTCATTGATGGTGGAATCATCTTAGATTCCCACCTAGTATTGAAAACAGACATTGGGTGACAGCTTTGGCATGGATTGGTAAGGCCTGGTTCACACCAGTTTACTCCCAGTTTAACTCAAAATATACCCCAGTGGTTGACGGAAACCGGGATACAACAAAGACTTAAAATGCTCAACATGTAAAAACCAATAATTGCCTATGGGCATGGTTCCCACCTGGGCGTTTTACAGCGCATAGGAACGCGCTGAAAAACGCCCTACGCCCAAAGAAGTACAGGAGCTTCTTTGGGGCGTTTTTTCGTTCCTTTCCATTGGTATTCCCAAGTGTGGATTGGGGTTAACAAAGCGGTAACCTCGAGCCACACTCGGGAATACAGCGTACAGGTCATACCTTGTCCGCGATCCCCGCTGTGTCCTCCGGCGGCTGCCGACTTCCGGGTTTTGTCCCTTGTGAGTGGCCGCGTCGCAGCGGGGCGGAGCCGGCGGGAAGTTTGAAAGTGAAAAAATATATATTTTTTGAAAAAATAGAGAAAATAAGGGAAAAAAACAAATCATACCGCCAGTGAAGCGCACGTTTCACTGAATGGAAAAACGCGCCTATTACATCTTAATACAAGACCAAGACCAAATGTCTTATGGCAAATATAGTCCTGGACGGATATACCCTTTGGTGACATACTAGCATTGTGCTCCACTACTATTGCCCAACACCAGAGAAGAGAGGAGAGCATTACAGGAACAGAACAGTCATGGCGTATAACTAATTTTTCAAGTTCTTACTAAAAAGTTTTTTTTAAATATAATAAAAATATAATACAAAATTAGCTTTGATTAGAGGCAGGTTGTACTTGGGGGTGATAGTTTAACAATTTATTCGATTATATACACACATATACTGTATTATTTGATTATTCATATTTTTTTATATACTGTATATACAGTATCTCACAGAAGTGAGTACACCCCACACATTTTTGTAAATATTTTATTATATAATTTCATGTGACGACACTGAAGAAATTACACTTTGCTACAATGTAAAGTAGTGAGTGTGCAGCTTCTATATCAGTGTACATTTGCTGTCCCCTCAAAATAACTCAACACACAGTCATTAATATAAAAAAAAGCACTCTGTGGTAGCTCAGGACAATGCTAGCTTAGGTGCACCATTTTTCTGATCTAAAATCTTGACAATGACATCAGAAAAGAGATGAGTCAGTGCTGTGATTATGTAATCAAAACAAATAAAAGGAGCTAGTGCTCAACCTGCTGACTCAAAAGGACAACTGAAATATTAATATGTAGTATTTCATATTGATCTGAAAAAGAAAACATGCTTTTCACTTTTTTTAGTACAAAATCCCAACATTGGCTTTGTCGCTAGCTTCAAAACCTAAAAAAAGAGGTGCACACTGCAATGGAAAGAGTTAATACTCACCTGTCCTGCA